CGCGCGGGTGTTTATTGCCTTTTCTTCAAACATTTTCGAAACCTTTGCAACAATGTAACAGATATAAGTAATTTTTAGAACAATTTCTAACCTAATTTTGACTTTTTAAATATTTCTAAAGTATTACCTAAGTTTAGAAACATTTGTAACATCGACTACATTATTCATTCGACTTGAGAAACGTTTCTAACGTAGATTCACCATTATTTCGAATATATTCGAATATGTTTGAAGTTGTTCAGAGAATTCAGGCGGAAAGCAATTCACACGTCCCTAAAAAGCCATTGGGCCCAAATTTAGGGATTAGAGTCTATACGCCAAACAAAGGGAGATGGCACCCCGTAGCGATTTGGGGGCGGCATGGATGTCACGTCTCTTGAGTCGTGTAAACAAACACAACCCGCCCTCCCCCGACGCGACGTCCTGCTTTCGATCTTCTCCCAAAAACTGAGAACACAGCGGCAGTTCTGAGGAATGTGACGGGCATCAATGTTAAACAAACAAGTCAAACATGCGTCAGACATATTCAAACCAGAATGTACATTTCCAAAGTGGACAAACCACGAGCTTGCGCTACACGTAACATGGACGCGGACGGACCGATCAACCACACGTCGGAATGGGGCAAGAAAAATGGCAGCCTTTGTGTATATGCAAATTTTGCATGACGTATTCGCGTTGCGCGCCTTTGATTGGTTGTTAGCTGGAAGCTGCAGGCGCTAGACGAGGGGACCGTCCAAAACGCGTAAACGTCATCCTCCCGATCCGAATACAAGCATGTTCATCAGCCTGTCACAAAAGTTGAAAAGGTACAGACGTAGCGATTTTAAATGCGCTATATCCAGTACAGAATTTTGCCGCGGCTCAGGCCCAAGCCAAGTTTCACTGCACTGGCTTCTGATGAATCTGTGCATATTAGGGACTGTACGATATTTACCGGGGGGAGGGCTGGTGCGCTGGAAGTCCGGTCAAAAATTTTTTCCATGGCCCTCCCCCCAATCTCAAATTTTTTTCCTTGGCCCTCCACCTCAAAAATTTTTCCATGGCCCTCCCCCTACAGGCATTGCCCGTATATTCCCGAATAAAGTACACATCCCGATTCAAGTACGCACCCCCGATTTGGCCAATTTGGGGCTGGCGGGAGACAAATATTCCCGTCTGAAACGTAAAATGGAAAAACTCGTATAAAATACGCACCCCTTCTACACAGGGCCGGTGCCACACAATGTATGTCTTAACGACAGTTCGTTCTAGAAAAAAAAGCTGTTTAAGGCCGTGTACTACGTGATTGTGTGGTATTAAACTGGTTACAGTATGTTGCGGGAAACGTTTGGTGTCGGGGCTTGTTTTCACCGCTGCCGCAGCCGATTTGCAAGACGTCACCACCGCATCGAAGGATAAGGCGAGTGCGGCGAAACGTACAGCTTTGGATCACGGAGAGTGTTGGTGATCAAGCAATGGTCAATTAAGCGTTTGAAATAATCTCTCGTAATGCGATATATGTTTTTGTCACAAAATCAAAGGGATATACATTTCAAACATGTATAAGTTTGCACTCCGTAAAACTAATATGTAACGTTACAGTCTGTTCAGAGGAAAGAAATACTTCCTTCTCGGGGGCAGGTTCTGGAAAGCTGTCCTCAGCGCTGCCACGGCCCTCTCTTCGTTTTTCAGTTGTAGGTGTACTTTTGGGAAAGAGTTCGGCGTGAACAAGAGAACGGGCGTAGCATGATTAAAAGTTCATTTTATTCACGCCGATCACACTTCAGTCGATCACACTTCAGTACGTGAACGTTGCTTACCGCTCTAGTTGGGGTACTTCATGCGTTGCCAAGGCAACGGCACGAACACAGGCGCCACGCCTGTCGGCGCGTACAGACTGGACCCACCCACCGGCGGGCGGTAAGATTTCATTAAAGACTACATTTTATAACTCCGCCCCTATCATTGTAGTTTGCAACAGCCGGGTAGAAGTACACCTAGCTGGCATTTTCACGTCGTGCATGGCAGCTATAGCCCGCTACAAAGTAATTTTCTGTGGCATTTATCAAGATTCAAACTTTAGATGTGTGATACGAAATGAAACATGGATAACAATTTCTGTTAACTAAGCCTTTGTAACGGCATGGGCATAACCTTTGTTGAATATTTCTGAGTTCAAATCAAGCCGGAAGTGCATTAGAAGTGACCCTCAGTCGAGGTACAACTATTATGCTATCATATGTTATGTTACGACGATAAAGAACGTTCATGGCTTGCGGACCATTTCAAATATTACTACTCATAAACCCTCTTACAATATTGTACATGTACTTGCGTTGTTTTTATTTTTATTTACGGCCGGGGTTCCACTGAGATCGGTACCGACAGGATGCGAACGATCCCGTCGGCATGACAAAGCGCCGGGCGTCACATTTTCTTACCGTGTGCTTTGACTTGACTTCCTCTTTTACCGAAACTTGCTGTCAATATCGACGATAGTCAGAGGGACTTTTAACTATTGAAGTTTAAGTTCTTATCTAAACATGCTATGGACGATCGATGTCGTTCCAAGCTCCCCGTGCCGGTGTTCTGCTATATTCCTGGGTAGTCCACGGATTTGTCGGGGAAAATCTCAAATGAAGTACGCACCCGGCACCCGACTTTGGCAACGACCCGAGACACTTTTGGGATTTTTAAGTTTAAGAAGTGTGTACTTTAGTCGGGAATTTACGGTAAGTAAAAATGGTAAAAACTTAACAAATCACGTTTTATAGGACAACAGCACAAAGCAGGCCAGATTTGAGCGTCAGGGCGTCGCCTGTTCTAATAGAACCGGTGTTTCTTGGTTAATATGCTAAATGTGCTAGGTTTAGACCTACATGCTTTAGTATTAATTTTTTGTTATTTTTCAATACTAGTAATCAGTGTTCTAGCCAGCCTGATTTTTCCCCAGCCCGTCATCTCAATTTTGTTTGCCGTAAGATTATGTCGAGAGCCGAAGGCGCGAGAGTTCGGGAAAAATGTGTAATAGTTGACCCTCTGAACATTATTTCTTGCATTTTGAGGGACACATTTCCGACAAGCATGGTATATTTTCAAAGCTAGGAACGTAGGATCGTACGACGGATTCGTAAGGAAAATTTTCCATGGCCCTCCCCCCAGCCCCGATTTTTTTCCAATGGCCCTCCCCATATGCCAATTATTTTTTCCATGCCCCCCCCCTACGCACCAGCCCTCCCCCACCGGTAAATATCGTACAGTCCCTTATGTAGCCAGGTATCCAGCCTTGTTAGCTTTAGTCCGCTACCCAAGCTCCGCTCCCCGCCGTAGCCTGGTATCCAACCTTGTTAGCTTTAGTCCGCTACCCAAGCTCCGCTCCCCGCCGGGAGTAATTTCCCTGTACAGTGTGTATGTTTTATGCACTAGTATTTTGGTAGGTCTGGTTAGATACAACATAAAATGACAGTAGACTATTGTTGTGTACAGGTTCTTGTTAACCAATATATAATGCACAGATGAGTCATACACAGATTCTTGCAGGAGCAGTATGGTTTTTAATGTCATCTCTTCACAACAACAACAACAAAAAGTGTCAAGATACAAGGAACGGTGTTAAAACGACCCACTAAAGAATGTCTAGGCTGTGCAAAGATTAAACTTAAATAAACCAAAGATAGCAGGTAACAATGGCAGGAAAAAATATTAAATGGAAATAAACCAGGAATATATGACTGTTCAAAGATTAAACTCAAGTAAAGCGAAGATAGCAGGTAACAATGGCAAGTAAAATAATGGAAATATCCCAGGGATAGATACAATGAACTGTGAAACGGCCCACCAAGGAGTGTCTAGACCAGTCAAAGATTAAACTGAAGTGAAGCAGGCATAGCAGGTAACAAAATATGGCACAAAATATGTACACTACAACTATGGTAAAATTACTAAAAAGGACACTATCACAAATATAATGCAGTGAATGATGTTAAATGATAAAATAGAGAAGTACAACAGAGAATGACCAGTTTTGTATCATCACAATGTGTGGTATAGCAGAGAGCCGAGTGTGCAGCTTTTTTACAACAGTGATACATTCACGAAGATGATACAACTACTTGTTAGAATGTTCATGTATGTTGTAATTTTACTCTCAATCCTATACATTGTATTGGTCACATTTTGCATGGTGAATTAAACTAATCTTTTCATTCTGCCTTGTAAGGCTTCTTTGTCTCAAGAAAGCTAGTTCGTCAGAGGTGCATGGAAGCAGAACGTGTGCATGTATACACAAAAATATATTGTATCATTTTCACATGACTTGTGTGTTTCTTTATATGGTACAAACATGTACTTTCAATCAACCCAAACTTCTACAGTTTTCTTCCTGAAGACTTGACTCAACTCGTATCTTCTACAGTGGTGAATTTGAGATATGGTGGCATATGTTGACATTTCCATACTGCTAGCTATGGGAAGCTCCAAATATTGCATACACCAAGGGTAGAAACAGTTCTCTTTATTTCGGTTCTGTTGTGATGATGTGTGTGAAAGTATCTACTTTCACAAGATTCAGCACCACTGATTGTAAATGGCAGTAACTTTTATAACTATTCAACTTAGAAATAGTGTCTAAAGTATTCAGACCAACTACTAGTATCACCTTGTATATGAGGGCAGAAATTGTGTATGGCAAATGTCTTCTTCTTTCTACTACTAAGGGTGAAATTTTCACTATTACCTAAGTATTTACCGACCTTCCTAAACGGAAAACTCCGATCCACGTCTACCCTATAGCCGTGGCGACTCTTGATGCGGGCTTACATTGCATTACCCTCAGCTGAGACAGAGACAGAGCGCGAAACCTTCTCTCCGTGGCAAAAACTCCCTCGGCAGCAAATCGTCCCTCACGGCCGCATATATTACTCGCGTCGATCAGAGAAAAAATTACGCCACGCCCAACAAGACTGCGAAGGAGGCTAGGATAGGTACTAGACTAGTACCTGTCCCTTCTGTTCGACATTCTATTTCCGCATTCCCCGCAGAACTTGCTTCGGGAGTCGCAACAATGCCCACACAGTGTACATACTGTGATCCTCTTTTTTTACCGGTGTTTTGCGGGGGCCCTTGATGTAGTATGTTGCTCCTCCCGAAGCAAGCTCTGCTCCCTCCACGGCCTGTTTTGCAGAGTTGATGTCACGGTTGAAGTTGAGCATCTGTGCGCACTCATTGTCCGGTTTAAGGTTTGGGGTACGCGGTCCAGGAACGTACTTGACCGAGGTGGTGGGTTGTGGTGGTGTTTCCGGGGTGGTGGGTTGTGGTGGTGTTTCCGGGGTGGTGGGTTGTGGTGGTGTTTCCGGGGTACGGGTGCGCGGTCCGTGCTTGTCTGGTGTGAAGCAAAGAAATCGCCGTCGCTTCTTCCCCCGATGTGTGGCATACGGTGTCTGCCCGATGGACTTGGGTGAGGCGAAAACATTAATGACTGTCTCCACCGCCGCGGGGGTGTCTTCCGATCTGTCGCTTATGGCCTTTAGCAGACCCGGAGAAACCTGCGTGAACAATAAACAAGTGTCAACGCGATTTCAAGCAAAGCAAATGTTTGGCAACCCTTCCCCCGAAATGCCAATTTGACACCTTTCTGTTTGGTAGAAATTTCGATTTACATGAAGTAACAAGGCTACCCGACTTGAAGTGTATATATATATTTATATATATATATATATACAAATGTAGTGCAGAGATAAGCCGACACAATTAGAAAGACTACGCCTGAAAACGTCCAAAGCACCACCCTCCCCATAGCTATCCTGTACTTGGTGAATTTGTGTTATACTAGTATTTCCCCAAGGGGCCGGCAAAAGTCGGGTAGGTCTAGTCAAGGACATTATCCGATCTTTCGGTTGCTGCAGAGACATTGGCCAGACTCTACATGACAATTTTGTCGATGCCTTTCGTTACAAAGAAGCGCTTGCATTTTTTAGCCTCCTTCGCATACTTCTGATGCGGGGGAGTTAATTTTTTTCGGGGAGCGACGGGAGTGGCCTACGTGTATGCCTAGGGGACGGTTTTGCCACCGAGCACCGAGGTGACGGTCGCCGCGGGGAGACTTTGCTGGGGAGAGACGGTCTCCCGGAGACTTCTTATGTGGGGAAGTAGTCTCTCCCCAGCAAAGTCTCTCCGCGGCAAAGCGTCCCCGCGGCATACACTAGCAACTAGCGTCGCTCCCTAAAAAATTAACGCCGTCGCATCGGAAGTCTGCGAAGGAGGCTACACATACAATATATCCTTCTAGAGGACGAGTCCTCAATTCTTCACTCGCCCCGTTTAAACATATACTCTCCAAGCAAGGGTTGGTGGGAAAGAACCTTTCTTTCATATGCCCCGTGCGTGAGGGTAGCGACAGAAAAACGTTGCCTCTGCCAGGAGCTATAATAGGTTTGGTAAGGCCATGTTGATTTGATTATATGGATGACATCCTCCGGGAGCCCCAAAACTGATGCGCGCGTGCGAATAAAAAAAAAGTTTTGCAAAAAAAAAAAGTTGTTTTCATTATGAAATCTACGTGGTCATGAGGGTTGAACACATGGGACAGAATATGGTTTGGCGAATAATCTAATCTTCAAGTTCATTTCCTTACAATGTCGTCTTTTTTTGTTTGATTTTGGCATTCTACGACATTGGTATAGTTTTTACTTATTTTTTTGTAACTTACGGTATATTTTTGCTCATTTTGCAACTGTTTTGTACGATTTACAGTAGTATCCCTGCATACGCAGCACTCGCACCGGAGGAGCGAGGGCAACCAAACCTTACTGCAGCACGACTTACAGAGCAATACCCCCAGAGTCACCCGAGAGGGGGGGAGGATGAGGGACTCGTTGGAGCGGACAACACGGTGACGACTCGGACTGAAGTACGGACGATGAGAAGGATGACGCAAACAACGTTAACAGGAGAGAGTACAGTACCGGAAGCGAAGTGCCACTGCGGGAAAGTATGCAAGAACAACAAGGGGCTAAAGATTCACCTAGCGAAGACCAAGTGTGGGAAGGAGGTGCCAAAGGTGCAGCGCACAGACATAGTATCTGGTGAGACGCAGGAGGACTCCAGACAGGAGGAAACCCACAGTTCTAGGGACTTCCAGGCACCAGAGGCGCCTCAAGAACACAGGAGGTGTCCGACTCAAAGCAGTGCAGAAAACCAGCAACAAAGTAGCAGTGAGGCCACAAACTTAGAGAACCAAAACCACCCAACGAGAGAGAAGATTAAGTGGCCCAAGATGAGTGAATTGAAAGCGTGGAACCAGCTCGACCAAGATCTAGACAAGGTGCTGGAAGCAACATTAGCTGGAGCAGTAGAGCACAAAGTCAAGTCCTTGTCAACGATAACGTACAACATAGCAAGAGAGAGGTTTGGGATAGAAGAAAGAAAGAAGAGCCCCTGCAGCACAAAACAGCCCAACAGAAGGGAAAGAGAGATTAAGAAGCTGAGGAAAGAGATAAAAGCGCTAAATAAGCGGTATAAGAAGAGCAAGGAGGACGAGAAGGAAGGAATTAAACAGCTGACAAATCAAATCCGAAGCCGCTTGTGTAATCTACGTAAGGCAGAGAGCTTAAGAAAACGGAGGAAGGACAGAACAAACAAGAGGGCCCAGTTTGTGAGGGACCCATTCAGGTTTACAAGATCGCTGTTGGGAGAAGCCAAGTCAGGGAGGTTAACAAGCTCCAAGGAAGAAGTTGAGGAGTTCCTGAGGGAGACGCACAACGATGAGTTAAGACAACAGCCCTTGGAGGCAATCTCTGGCCTAGTGACTGTGGAAGCACCAGAGTTTCAGCTAGACACTAGTGAACCGTCGTGGAAAGAGATCCAGGAAGTTGTAAGAAAGGCCAGAGCAGGGTCAGCCCCCGGCCCGAGCGGGATCCCCTACAAGGTGTATAAGAAATGCCCCTTGCTCTTGCGGCGGTTGTGGAGGCTGCTCCGGAGAATTTGGGTGAAGGGGACCATCCCTGAGTGTTGGAAAAAGGCTGAAGGTTGCCTGGTACCAAAAGAGGAGAACTCATCAACCATAAATCAGTTCAGAACAATCTCACTGCTGAGTGTAGAGTGCAAGATCTACTTCTCCATACTGGCTAGAAGAATGGTGACATATGTGACGAAAAACAAGTACATCGACACCTCTGTGCAGAAGGGGGGAATCCCCGGTTTCTCAGGATGTTTGGAACACACAGGGGTGCTCAGCCAGATGATCAGGGAGGCCAAAGCAAGCAAGGGGGACCTGACAGTGGTGTGGCTGGATTTGGCCAATGCATATGGCTCCATCCCACATGCGCTCATCCAGGTAGCGATGGATCACTACCATGTTCCCCCAAGAGTGAAGAGCATGATCAACAGTTACTTTGGGGGAATCCAGCTGCGGTTCAAGACGGCCAGCTTCACAACGCAGTGGCAGAAGTTAGAGAAGGGTATTGTGACAGGGTGTACCATCTCACCTATCCTGTTCATAATGGGGATGAACCTGCTCCTTGATGCAGCAGCAACTAAGGCGAAGGGCCCCAGGATGAAGTCAGGGGCGAGACAGCCACCGTTGAGAGGGTTTATGGACGACATCACCCTAACAACTATCTCCCACATAGAAGCGAGGTGGATGCTGGCAGAGTTGGATCGCACGGCAACGTGGGGAAGAATGAAGTTCAAACCTAAGAAGTCTAGATGCTTGGTGATAAGGAAAGGGAAGATCTCAGGAAGATTCAAGTTATACGTGCAGGGAGACCCCATCCCATCAATACAAGGCAACCCAATCAAGTGCCTGGGCAAGTGGTATGATGAAACTCTTACAGACAAGAGAAATGTCCACAGTACAGTGGAGCAGACCCAGGAATGGCTAAGGAGAATAGAGAAATCAGGCCTCCCTGGGAAGTTTAAGGCGTGGCTGTACCAGAATGGGCTGTTGCCGAGATTGATGTGGCTGCTAACTGTTTACGAGATGCCACTAACGTCTGTTGCAGAGATCGAGAGGAAAATCAACAAGCATCTGAGGCGGTGGTTAGGAGTGCCGCCAAGCTTTACCGCGATAGGGCTGTATACAAAGGCAGGGCAGATGCAGCTCCCGCTGTCGTCAGTAGAGGAGGAGTACAAAGTAGCCAAATGCAGAACTGTCATGCTGTATAGGGACTCTCACGACCAGAAAGTTAGAGATGCCGGAGTCACAACCAGAGCAGGTCGGAGGTTCAAAGCTGACTCACTGGTAGACCAAGCAGAGGGTATGCTGGTGTTGCGAGACATCATCGGAATTACCAACATCGGAAGACAGGGCTTAGGTTCCACCCACTTCCAGCAGTGGGGAAAGGCAAACAGAGAGGAGAGAAGGTCTCTAGTTCAGGAGGAAGTTAGGAAGCTAGAGGAAGAAAAGCGGATAGCGAAGGCAACCCAGATGGCAACACAGGGTGCGTGGACTAAGTGGAACCTTCCCAGCAAGAAAA